GAGGACAATGCGTTGTCATTAGGAACAGGAACAGCCTAAATTGCGAACAATGTATTGGAGACGTTAACATGAAGCAAATGCAGAAATTTGTCTGGGAACGATGAAAAGATATAAAAGTCTATTCTGATTCGGGCATATAACATTTGTATCTCAGTAAACTCCTCAGCTTCTTCAGAACATATAATCCCTCGGCACTCTCTTTCCATTCTTTTATTGTCCTATAATCGCTTGGTACTTGTCTCCTCGTATTCACTTATCATACTGACTCACGGTATTCTCCGGCCAGTTTTCTTTCATCATATAGTCTCTCTGTACTCTACATATTTTGAATACAATTCTATTGCTTCACCTAAATATATTTGAACGCAGTTGTATTCAATTATTCATAAAATGTATTATTGGTCATTTTGCGTCTCTGGATTTTGTCGAGGACCTCAATATGAACAGCGGGGGCACCAGATCATATATGGAAGCAGTATTCAATGCAAGGACGAATGGTTGATTTGAATGATGGACAGGCGAGAAATACCTCCTGGCGCGACACAGAGAACCAACTTTCCTTGCTGGAGATGAAGCTATAGATTCAATGGAGTTGCGCCACCTCAGTGGCACGATGGAGTAATGGATAGCGGCTTGGATTGAGGAATCGGAGAGCTGAGTTCGAAATCTAGTCAGATCTGTTAAATTCACTTACGTGCTAATACCCTTGGGAAAGTCATGGATCCTCTTCTTCTCCTCGCTCCCATCTATGGGTAAATAGCAGGACAGACCGGGTACTTGGATTGCAACTGGTCTACCGCAGAAGGAAATGGCAATCTATTGCGGGAAAAATTGCAGATCAGTGGAAAGCGTGAGACCAAGCAGGCGCAGGCAGGCGCTCTCGTGGGGTGGGGTATCAGACGTTCCTTTGAGAGGTAGGGAGGGTTCTCTATGGTGGGAAAATGAGAGTAGATTCGTTTTGGAGGCATTAAAGTTTACAAGTCATTTCCTACCCCGGTCAACCATAAACTGGAGGTCCTTTTCTTGGTCCTGGAGGGCAAGGTTTGAGTTTGACAGCGATCTAGTATAAGGTATATTCCAGAAGAACTTTTGTTTCTTTGGGAATTTCAAATGATGGGAAAGACGGTGTAGCGTCAGGTAAAAGCGGTGCAAATTACGTTCTCTGGATAAATTACGATTGGAAAGACGGAGGGAAATACACGCACACACACACACATGCACACATATATATATATATGTGCGTGTGTATGCGTGTGAGTAATTTCCAAATATGCCCAAACACACAGGCATACACACACATATGTGTATGTGTGTAATTTCTATATATGCCCAATCACACGGAAACACACACACGTATACATATGTGTGTACGTGTGTGATTTCCAAATATGCCCAAACACACAGAGACACACAGAGACACACAGACACACACACACACACACACACATGCATATATGTGTATGCATGTGAGTAATTTTCAAATATATGCCCAAACACACAAACATACACATACCCAGACACACACATATATATATATATATATGTGTATGTGTGTAATTTCCAAATATACCCAAACACACAGACACACAGATACACACAAACACATACACAGACACAAACACATATATATGTGTGTATGCATGTGAGTAATTTTCAAATATGCCCAAACACACAAACATACACATACGCACACACACATATATCTATGTGTATGTGTGTAATTTCCAAATATGCCCAAACACACAGATACACACACACACACACACACACACACACACACACACACACACACATATATATATATATATATATATATATATATATATATATATTTAATATTTAAGAGCAAACCTTCTTTCATGCACATGTCATTGAATACGACAGACAATGTAATTTGATTTAGTTTTTTATACAATTTCTCATATGTTCTAAGAATTATTTTCTTTTCAGATGATAAATAAA